AAATAATCGTTATGCGAATTAATTTTCCCCATAAGAAATAATGGAAATAAAATTAATCCGTGCAAGACGCCCAAAAGTATGAAAAAAAAATTTTTTTACCACATGAAATGTTAATTTTAATACACACAAACTGAAAAAGGCATGCACAATTACATGACACTTACTTTTATTGAAGATCTGGTGATGATTGATGGGATGGGAGGAGGGGAGAGCATTATCTTCTTACTGTTTAGAAGGGGAATCCCCTTCCATTAGGACTTGAGGTAGCAAGTCCTTTTCTGGGGTTACTTCCCTTCTTCTTTTAATGCCACTAGGACCAGCTTCAGAGTCACTGGACCTCTGTCGCACAACAAATCTGTCCATAGAGCTCTGTACCTCCCGTTTCTTCAAGACTTTCCTAAAATGGGCCATAACATTGTCATTGAAATAGTCACAAGCACGGCTTGCAACAGCTGTGTCAGGGTGATTTTCATCTATAAAGGTTTGCAGTTCAAACCACTCTGCACACATTTCCTTAATCTTTGAAGTAGGCACAATGGATTCCACAACTGGCATAGGCTTCTCAGGGTATAGCCCCAAACCCTTCAAAATCTTTCTTAATTTCCATACTAAATTCTCACCCTTTTTACCACAGGGTTGGCACTAGAAGCTTTCTTGGGGCCCATGGTCACTTATTTTCCAGAAACACCACCGAAAACACTGTAATAATACGAAATATTCCGAGTGTATGCTTGGATGTTACCGCGGAGGCTGGCTGGTAAACAATGGGACGGCCGGCACATGTGAGGGCACATTGGACGCGTCTCGGACGAAAATCGGTATGCGGGTTTTTAATCGGTATGCGGGGCAAAAATTTTGCGATAAAAGTAATCGTTATGCGGAAAAATCGCTATGCGATGCCATCGTTATGCGGGGGTCCACTGTATAAATAATTTTCAAAGAAAAGCCCAATGCCTCTATAACAGACATTGCCCCAGAAAAACTAAACAGATCACAGCAAAGAGACTGAATAATCTCTGGCTAACACCAAGCATCCTCAAATCCATTAACACAAAGCACAAATATGAAAAACAGTACAGAATGGGTCAAATAACTAGAGAACAGTCGAGAAATTACTCGTCAGCACTTACCAGCCTGATAAGAAGGTCAAAAAAATTGTATTATGAAAATAGATTACATAACATCAGAGGTGATATGAAAAAAACCTGGAAAACTCTATCTGAAATTTATTTTTATTTTATTATCACACTGGCCGATTCCCACCAAGGAAGGGTGGCCCGAAAAAGAAAAACTTTCACCATCATTCACTCCATCACTGTCTTGCCAGAAGGGTGCTTTACACTACAGTTTTTAAACTGCAACATTAACACCCCTCCTTCAGAGTGCAGGCACTGTACTTCCCATCTCCAGGACTCAAGTCCGGCCTGCCGGTTTCCCTGAACCCCTTCATAAATGTTACTTTGCTCACACTCCAACAGCACGTCAAGTATTAAAAACCATTTGTCTCCATTCACTCCTATCAAACACGCTCACGCATGCCTCCTGGAAGTCCAAGCCCCTTGCACACAAAACCTCCTTTACCCCCTCCCTCCAACCTTTCCTAGACCGACCCCTACCCCGCCTTCCTTCCACTACAGACTGATACACTCTTGAAGTCACTCTGTTTCGCTCCATTCTCTCTACATGTCCGAACCACCTCAACAACCCTTCCTCAGCCCTCTGGACAACAGTTTTGTTAATCCCGCACCTCCTCCTAACTTCCAAACTACGAATTCTCTGCATTATATTCACACCACACATTGCCCTCAGACATGACATCTCCACTGCCTCCAGCCTTCTCCTCGCTGCAACATTCATCAACCATGCTTCACACCCATATAAGAGCGTTGGTAAAACTATACTCTCATACATTCCCCTCTTTGCCTCCAAGGACAAAGTTCTTTGTCTCCACAGGCTCCTAAGTGCACCACTCACCCTTTTCCCCTCATCAATTCTATGGTTCACCTCATCTTTCATAGACCCATCCGCTGACATGTCCACTCCCAAATATCTGAATACATTCACCTCCTCCATACTCTCTCCCTCCAATCTTATATCCAATCTTTCATCATCTAATCTTTTTGTTATCCTCATAACCTTACTCTTTCCTGTATTCACTTTTAATTTTCTTCTTTTGCACACCCTAAAAAAATTCATCCACCAATCTCTGCAACTTCTCTTCAGAATCTCCCAAGAGCACAGTGTCATCAGCAAAGAGCAACTGTGACAACTCCCACTTTATGTGTGATTCTTTATCTTTTAACTCCACGCCTCTTGCCAAGACCCTCGCATTTACTTCTCTTACAACCCCATCTATAAATATATTAAACAACTACGGTGACATCACACATCCTTGTCTAAGGCCTACTTTTTACTGGGAAATAATTTCCCTCTTTCCTATCTGAAATTCTTGGAAATAAAAAGTTATCCAAAAACAAAGCAATCAAACTAACAAAATCAGATGAACCCCTACTCACTCCAACCGAAACAGCAAACAGACTTAATGTTTTCTTCTCCACCATAGGAAAAAATCTAGCAAACAAAATACCAAACACAAATGCCCGTCCATCAGACTACCTCATAGGAACCTACCCAAATACCCTATTCCTAGCTCTAACCAACCCCACTGAAGTTATGCTCATCATAAACACCCTTAAAAACAAGGCAGGAGACATAAACAACTTGTCTGCTTTTATGTACAAAAAAGCTTTTCAAGTGTATTGTCACCAATTATTGCAACACTTTTAACAAATCCATTGAATCATCTACCTTCCCAACAATCCTCAAAATAGTGAGGGTCACTCCGATCCATAAAGGAGGTGACCAGGCTGACTTGAATAACTATAGACCAATATCTAACTTACCACTGCTCTCTAAAATCTTAGAAAAATTAATTCATAGACGGATCTATTCCTACCTCGTTTCACACAACATATTAAACCCTTGTCAGTTTGGATTCAGGAATAATAAAAGCATAAATGATGCTATCATACACATGCTATTACTAATATATACCGCACTTGAAAAGAAAGAAGTCCCGCTGGGCATTTTCATTGATTTACGTAAAGCTTTTGATACAGTCGACCATGAACTACTGTACTCCAAATTAATGCACTATGGTATCAGAGGCCACTCCCTCAACTACCTAAAGTCATACCTTAGTAATAGAACTCAATATGTGTATGCAAATGATGCAAACTCCTCCACCCAACCAATTACAGTAGGAGTCCCACAAGGAAGCGTCCTTGGACCACTCCTCTTTCTCATCTACATCAATGATCTACCAAATGCATCACAGCTACTCAAACCCATATTATTTGCAGATGACACTACATATGTATTTTCCCACCCAAACGCAGTCATATTAGCAAACACAGTCAATGCTGAATTACAGAAAATATCTGCCTGGATGATGACTAACAAACTTACCCTGAACACTGATAAAACCTATTTCATTCAGTTTGGAAACAAAGCTGCAAATGATCCAATTAACATTACGCTAAATAGATCATCAGTCACAAGACTCACAGAGGGAAAATTCCTAGGTATCCACCTTGACAGTAGCCTTAAGTTCCGGACACACATACAACAAATCACCAAGAAAATCTCCAAGACTGTAGGCATACTATCAAAGATAAGGTACTATGTTCCACAATCAGCTCTCCAGGCACTGTACCATTCACTCATATACCCTTATTTTACATATGGAATTTGTGCATGGGGATCAACAACATCAAATCACCTAAAACCCCTAATAACCCAGCAAAAGGCAGCAGTAAGAATGATAACAAATTCCCACTCCCGCCAGCATACTCCACCAATTTTCAAAAGTCTGAATCTGCTTACCATTAAGAACATCCATACTTATTCATGTGCCTACTACATACACAGAACAATACACGCAAATATAAACCCTCCACTCAAACTTCTCCTCACCAACCTAAACAGGACACATGACCACAACACAAGACACAGATCTCTTTTTGATATACCTCGTGTCCATATCACACTGTGTAAAAACTCTATGCACATAAAGGGCCCCAAAATATGAAATTCATTACCAGAAGATATTAAAGTAACCCAGTCTGAAAATCAATTTAAGACTTCTCAAAAGCCACTTAATCACCCTAGACTAAATGCTAAATACTCAGTACACATTTACTCACCTATGTACTCCTACATCATAACTGAAACAATCACATTGAACCTTTTATCCATTGTTGACAGGAATATAATTGAATCATTGTTTTTCACAAAAGCATTTTAGAATATAAATACGGTTATCTTTGTATTATACAAATTTTGATTCATTTATAATTAATATTCTACTGTACAACTATGAAATAATTACTTTCCTACTGTACAACTATGATATACTACTCCTTAGTATTAAGTAGACTGTAAGTCAATAATGTTAAGTTGGCCCATAATGCCTAGGCATAATAGAGGCTCTCTTTGCATTGCAACCTACTATTGTATATACACAATCTCAATGTACTGTTTGCAAAGACATTAAATAAATAAATAAATAAAATTATTCCACCAATCATTCCTCTTTCTCCCCCCCCCCCAACACCCACCCTCCTATATCCACAAACTTTTGCTGCACACTCTAACGCTGCCTTCTTAAATCCTGCCTATACCTCTTCAACCTCATTACCTATAATCTCACTAGCCCATCTTTCCATAAACAGTTGCTTATCTCTTAGTTTATAAACTTTTGCCTCTCTCTCAGTTACTCTCTGTTCACATTCTCCTTGTACTCCATCAAACTTTTACTCTCACTGAAGCTACAAGTAAAAAAAGATCTGATATGTCTGTTGCCCATCGGAAAAATATCAAAATGTCAAAAATATTTGAAAACATGCAGTATGGTAAAGTTACTACAATTGTCATACTGTAGAAGCAATAATTTTTCCCATAAAAACTCATAATTATGATAGAGAAGCGTAACATCTCACCTAGCAATAGAATAAATCTCGGAGGATCGTCCTTGGCGCAGCTTGAGGAGCCAGGCTCCAGGGTTGGCCTTCAGTTGGAAGTAGCCTAAGTTGGCCATCACAATAGTGTCATACTGGAGAAAGGAAAAAACAATTGTGAAAAAATATATTCTAAAAGGTAATTATCAATGTCTTTTTAAAACATTAGAGCATCAGTAACATGGCAATAGGTTTTATTTGGGAAAATTAACAAAAAATTAGCATTACTGGTTGTTGGAAAATCAACTCAATGATATTATCTTTTATGTGTTACAGTTTCAAGCAGAAAGCCTCCACTGAGTGAGTTATCATATATGTACTTAAGACTGGCTTAAACTTTAATTTTCATGTTTCTCCTGCCAAACCATCAACTGATCCAATTACGGTGGACCCCTGGATTAAGTCGTCATTGGAATAAGTAATATTCGGAACATGTAATGTTTTTTTGTCAAAATATTGGCTCGGTGAACGTCACTGAACTCGGTATAAGTCATTCGTCCGGAACACGTTCACGTACCCTGAGCGGCCCGGACATTCCATGTACAGCCAGTGTGCCATTGTTTGCCAGTCAGTGAGGACGATTCCACTTGTTCATACGATACATTTTGTATCATTCCATTCTTTTTAGTGCTTGTAACTGCTAAATAAGCCACCATGGGCCCAAAGAAAGCTTCTAGTGCCAGCCAGCCCTTTGGTAAGAGCCTGAGAGAGAGGGGAGAATGTGCCTTTTTCAGTGATTCTGCAATATGTACGACACTAAAGCTGCAGGAGTCGATAAAGGCTATAGTACAAGCCAGAGATAAAGTGTAGCATTAACAGTGTAGCAAGTAAGTTAAGAGATTAATCGACAGAAAAAGGACAGCACGAAACTGATTCCTCCATTGTTGTTGGAAGTATATAGGGCTACTGACTAACACCGCCGCCTCTGCTGCTGCCTTCACCGCAACTATGTAAGGCTTGTCTTTCAGTGGCCCTTATACATCCAACAACAAACAACACACCACCACTATTGACATTCTTAATGCTATATTTAATCATTCTAGAATATTTATCATGTTTCTATGTTATTAATACTGTTTATTATGTCATACTACATGAATTTTGCTAGATAAATAAGCTGTAGAGCTGATATTAATGCCTTATTGAAGGACTATCTTGTCCTGTCTCCCAACACAATTCCTAACATATGCCAGAAACAGACCTCTCTGGAACACTTTTTTGAGCGACAGGGGTCCAGTGACTCTCAAGCTAGTCCTAGTGGCATTAAAAAACAAAGAAGGGAAGTAACCCAGGATAAGGACTTGGTACCCGAAGTCTTTATGAAAGGCGATTCCGCTTCCAAACAATTGTAAACTCCTCCATCCTCTCCCCTCCTCCCATCTTCCATACATCACCATGTCATTAATTTTTTTTTTAATTATTATTATTTGGACATGATACATAGTTGTACAAAAGAAATACAGTGGTTAAGTGTACATGCCAAATGCCCCTTGTAAAGGTAAGTGTAAAGGTAAGTATGATATTATTGTTTTATTCTTCATGTATCATTGTTTTCTGTGTAGGTAAATGTATATTTCATGTAGATAACATTTTTTTAATACTTTTGGGTGTCTGAAACAGATTAATTGGATTTCCATTCATTCTTATGAGGAAAATTAATTTGGAATAAGTCCAATTCGGGATAAGTCACTCTCTCTGGAACAGATTAATTACGAAATCCAGGGGCCCACTGATGAAGACATTCCCAAGAAAAATGTTATCACATCCCAATAAAATCACTTTCAACCCTTTGACTGTCGTGACCCCAAATCCTAAAGTGTCTGTGTTGCAAAATTTTTGGAAAAAAAAAAAAAAAAAAAAAAAAAAAAAAATCCTATGAAATGAGAGAATTTTTTCCCGATGTTAATGAAATGAAAAGTACAAAATGTGATGGAAAACTTACATAATTATGCTCTCGTGAAGTTAGCGATCTCGGCAATGTTTACACATCGGCATTTCGCCCACTTTGAGGCCTATTTTCAGCCAATTCCATTGTTTCAGTCGACCAAACTCACAGCTATTTCTTTAGAACTCCATTTGTTCTATCGACTGAGTACAAGAAACTGCGTGAAATTTGGCCAATTTCACGCAAATTAAAAAAAGATGTCAATTTCAAAATAGGGTCCAGAATGAACAATGCTGACATTTCTGGCACTAAAATAACATTTTCTCTGCTCATCAGTCACGTCTCCAGGTCCCTCTTATATTACTCTTGCTTTCTATTTTGAATTTTTATTTACACAAGAAGTAGAAGATTTACTGTTATGCTGACTACTGCATTATTATAATAATTGTATAAATAATGTCAACCCAATCATGACTGAGCATTAGAATGGCTAATTGGACACATATTGGACAATGACATCACTTATTTACTCTCGAAAATCAGCAAAAATCGAACATTTCCACTACTTTGAGCTCAAGTTCGAAGTCCTTTTCATCGTGAAACCAATCAAAATCATCTCTATTTCTGTAATATGTCTTCTATTCTATCAAATAAGACCAATAAAATAAGAATACAACCATAAATACTATATGAAAATACACCTAAAATTCGGCGTTTTAATCCAAAAACACAGTCGGAGGTTTTTTTTTCTCATTATGCATTGCGTGCTGCAGGATTTTTTTTATACTGCGCACACTGACCATGCAGACCCATTCTCTCACATGTGGGTCTACCAACTTTCTCTTGCTTGATTTGAAGCCGCTAGAATTTTTGAGTAGAAATACATACATCAAAAATACTGGCTGGTAAGACGTATATATACGACAGAAACAGTCAAAGGGTTAAGAATAAAAGTTTACCCTTACTAAAATACATTATCAGTAACAAAGAACAGTCACATCTCGCTAATATGGACTGTTATATTCCAGGACTTCTGCTGTAAAGTAAATCACGGCCATTTTTTAACTTGCAACTGCATATAAAAGCCTAAAAACATGTTTACCCTATAAGATATTAAATGCACAACAGTGCTAAGCATAAAATGTGACTCAAAAAGTAAAAATAATAAAAAAATTATTAAGTAGTGTTTCACTGCTAAACTGATGTGGACATGACCGCCAAAAATAATAAACATGAATACGTACTTGAAAAGCACCATATCAGCAAAGTGCTGTAAAATAATAAAAAATTATACAGTACTTTACTGCTAAACTGATGTGCACATCATCGCAGAAAATAATAAACAGTAATATAATTGAAAAGCACCGTATATCAATCATCAACTATTTAATTTTAAACTATTACAAGTTATAAGTGAAGTCTTTCTTAGTGCAGAACATGTGCATCATTTTCCTGGAAAATATTCTTTGTCTGATATATCCATCTCTTGCCTTCTGTTCAGTCACTTCAATGCATGCTTCAGTCATCAATTTTATCCCTCTCTCAACAGCCTGAGTGTTGTTTGGCCACTTGGGCACCTCCAGTGGATTCTCAATAATTTTCTGAGCCTGTTGATCTGATAAATATGCAATGAAAGGAGGCTCAGTTTTGAGTTCAGTCTTCCAGTCAATCATGGAATGATAGTTCTTTGCTTGCCACTTTAGTTTGGGAATCACTACTTTTCTTGAGTTGACAATAGGAGCCACATTGTCTTTCTCTTCATCTTCACTGTCATCCTCATCATCAGTGTAGATTAACAAGTCCTCGTCAACAACATCAGCAGAATCTTCTCCATCCTCATCAGAGCTCTCAGTACTTTCTTCTGTCTGCTGATTCTCTTCTCTAATTTTTCTTATCATTGAGACAGCTTTGTCTCTCACAGTCATGTCTTCATCAGCACACATACCAAGCAGCTGCTGATCTGCATGAGCAAAGTAGGAATTTCTATGGACAATCTTCTTTACTATCTTCTTTTCTTCACTGTTCAGATGTCTCATAAATTGCAGTGACTGGAAGATGTTCTTTGGACTGTGTATGACATAAGGGTGCAGCTTGATGTGGAACCACATTGGAGCACTGAACTTTAAAATCATTATGACGACTCTTTTCAGCTCCTGACTGGGTCTTGATGTTGCCACATACTGCCTAAGGAGCCTGCTCCATAAAGCATTCCGAGTTGACACACACAGTGGACCTGGTTCAAGAGCAGCCAAGTCGTCATCAACCACACCTGTGATCACTCCTTTGCAAATCCTACACAAGTATTTCTGGTTCCAGAACAGATCCTCTGCCACCTTATCATTCAGAGCAGGGAAATCAGTGAAACTGACTGACTGGAAAGCAACTGGCAGCTCAGACAGAGGAACCTTGATCTGCTTGCCAATGGGACCTCTCCAATGCTCAGGACCACTTGGCTTACTGTCATAGTGGTAGAAAGCCCGGAATGGCAGTTCATTTCCATGAAGCTGACAGATGAAATAATGGACCGGATGACCAAGCAACATTTCAAGATGATGAATGGCTTCATTGTAAGCTCCGACATTTATGTTGGTTCCGTCACTACCAACACATACAACAGATTGCAGAGTTAGTTTCTGTTCCACCAGAAATGTATAGTCTTGGCAATCTCCTTTTCATGGCCTGACTTGGGAGTCACATGAGTGAGACATTCAGTGCCAGGCTCCACCATGATGAGGTAATGATATTTTACCACTATTTTTGGACTCCATTTCTTGGTCTTCTCATTCTTTGTCATTACATGAGTGGAGATCTTCTTACCATCAAAATACAGTGATGTTATATTTTCCAAATTTGCTAGCTCTAGCCTCTTCACTTGGTATTTTGTCATCCTTGGTGATAATGCCAGAGTCCACTAAGGTGGCCGTAGCAATGGCAGTTCCAGCATAATCACTGAGAAAGTTAATGTTTATAAATATGGTAGAGTACATAGATACAGTACATAAAACACAGTGCTGCACTTCTCAGTAATAGACAAATTCAAAAATTTCAATTGCAAATGCTCTAGGCTAAACTTCAACCAATCAATGTCATATGTGGCACTGAATCTAAGATGTATAAGGAACAATGCCCGAAGAGTGCAGCTTTGACCAAAATTTCCATGTTCCCTAGTGAACATGCTGAATCATTATGTAAGAAGTTTCTTGAATATGT